GTGCTGATAAGAAGCCATCACGAGGCAGGGTGATTGGGACAGAGGGGAGAGTTGTACTCTCTCATATTGATGAAGCTCTCTTTATCTCAGTATCAGATGGTTTTGAATATGTCACACAATGGTAAGACAGAATGTTCCCTTACGATATTATATAATCTTATTATATCAGCCACCTCTCATTCCAACTTGGCTATATTCATAACTCTACAAATGTTCTCTCATTTGCAAAATATGCAAAGCGTCAAACAAAGTTGTGGTTTTCCTTCTGTGAAAGCTTTTGTAGTTCCTCCCTGCTGCCTACATGTAAATATGTTGTGGCTCATCAGGGTCCTGTGTGTGTGTGTGTGTGTGTGTGTGTGTGTGTGTGTGTGTGTGTGTGTGTGTGTGTGTGTGTGTGTGTGTGTGTGTGTGTGTGTCTACCTCTGCACCCTTGTCTCTCCATCTTCAATGCAATCTTGTAACTAATATTTTTTTTCCAGGGTGAATTGCGCTCGCTTCCAATGAAGTTCATCCGCCCTTCATTCTTAGGAACTTCACACAACTATGCTTCATGTCAAACACAGATCTAAGAATAGATGAAGGTCTCCACTGCTACAGTTAGACCGTGATACTGACTTATGTTCAGCTCAGTGTGTGAGTGAGTGGCTGTGTGTGCACGTGTTTGTGCACGTGTGTCGGGTTAGTTAAGGACTGGCTATAACATTCATGATCATTATTAGAGTTTCAGTGCTTTTCGGTGATAAGCTGTATCAATAAGGGCCGACATAAGCGTTAATGTGATGTAGTGCATGTGCTTCTGCACTGAAACTGGCAGAAAGTCAGTCTATTTTTCCTATCATACTGCAGGTTTGTTTTCTATTTGTTAGTTTGGTAATAATTCTGTGCGTGCTATAAATAGAGCTGAACTTTAAGCCACAATCTGATTCTCCCAGTGCTGTTATCAAACGTGTACATGACAAGAAACTAATTGTTGTATGTTGCAGCAAAGCCTTTTATTCAATATTGCAGGTTGGTCCAAAGAAGGAAAGGTGAGAGGAGAGAGGGAGGTGATGGGAGGAGAGGGTGAGGAGACAGGAGGGCTGTGGGAGGTGGGGTTACCCTGGAATGCACTGTCACCAGGAGAAAAATGCAGCCTCACTGGTTCGGTGCTTTCCGTTGAAGAATAGATAACGACTCGCAGGAATTGATATATTTAGAGGATGGGAACAAACACAGAGACGTGAGGGATTGAGATCTGAAGAGGATGTTGGAGGGGCAGAGACAGCGATCATCTCCATGCAGAGGAACGGAAAAGTCTTACAGAGTGAAGATATTCTTAGTTCTCTCGCTGAACTCAGATGCTGTCTGAGCAGGTGTAAATTAGAGACGCATAGACTCAGATCGTTGTGTTCCCTAGGTGAACTTAAGAATAAGGTTCACTGTGCTGTACTTTTTAAACTAAAATGGCCTCCATTTATGTTGATGTCTGTTAGCTGAATGACTATAGAAAACAGGGGTTACACAGCAGGAAGGGAACATTTATTGTACCAGATTGTCAGTTTGGGAGATATGCAGAACATTTTTGATTGTGACCAGGTTATAGAAAAGACTGTCTGTGCAGGACAAACAAAAAAAGAAATCAATCGCATCAAAATGCAGTCAGGGTCAACAAACATGGACAATATTGTAGCTATGTGATTTGTAATCCAAACATCTGTAAGAGGAGGACAGATGTGAAACTATGTCCTTTAGTATAACCATAGAGGGAACAACAGTGGTGGCAGAGAGAGAGACTGACAGACATCACTCTTCCGATCCACTTCTGCCCTCTTGTGGTTTCTGTGCAGTACTGCAGGTTGATGACCGGGTGACAGGAAGACCAACAACATACAGCTCACCAAACAGGAGCTGTGTCTGAAATCTCCATCATTTAGGAATTCACTACTATCTATATTGTATACACCGTTATACTTTGTGAATCATTTTTAGATTTCTGACTTTTTATTTTTTTATTTTGTGACATCATTCAGATTTGTTTATTCCATTATGGGATTGTTCTGACAGAAAACTTAAATTCAGTTAAGAAAGTATATAAGGATTAATGTAGTGCACATCCTGTGTTTACATTCCTGATCAGCTTCCCATGAAGATACTGGAAGACATTTTCTTTTCTGGCTGCAGGTCAAAAGTAAAACTCATTTGTTTGTATACGTTTCCTTAATAGTTATTCATTTAGGCTGTGGTAGATTGTCTCCTCCTTTTCCCCAGGACCCATTTACTTTTCTTCTTTCACTGTATCTAGGGTGTACTAGGACCCAAAAAGTCTGTATATAGGATGAGCTCAATAATTACCTAATTTAAAAGTTTCTACCATCTTGAACAACAATCCTCGACACCAGTGGTTCTTAACTGGTGGGTCGCAGATGTGTAACTGAAGAAAAAACAAAGTTGAAAAAAATATATATATATCTTTTTTTTGTGGAAAAAAGTCAAACTTTTATTTTGAAGGCCCGATTTTCTAACGCTGTGCGTGCAGTAGGCGTTGGACTGGAAGTACCTGAGGCCATAAACGGTTTTTAAAACTTCTGTCACGTAATGATCATCTTCTCAATAAAACATCTTTGCTGATGTTTTTTCGTGTCTTCTGGCCAATCAGAATCAAGATTGTACGTAGTTATGCGTAGTTTATATGTTAGTATTTCTAAAAATCTCCTGGGGGAGAATCCCCCCAGACCCCCTGCTGGGGTTGGGTTTTCAGCATGTGTGCCTTTTTATGTTATACAGTTCAGCTTTGATTCCATCATCTCATTGAACCTTATTTAAAAGCATACTTTAGTTCTGTGAAGGGTTATATGCACTGTACTTCACTTTCATTAATCTTGTATGCTGAAAAGCGTATATATTACAGCAAGATTTTTTGTTGAATAGATTTGAGTTGTTCAAATTTCGGGTCGCGATTTATTGACAAAGGAAAAAGTGGGTCCCGAGGCCTGACCAGTTGAGAACCACTGCTCTACACAACGCATCTCTGTGGCATCAACTTTGGTTCATCATGAGTAAACTAAATGTGGTTGATTGTGGAACAGACTTGAATTTCCAGAAGATCCAGATTCCAAACACTGCCTCGTGATATGACACTGCATGTTGCCTTTCCCACACTTATCCATTCATCCAGTACGTCCTTCAGCAAACCAGAATGTGTGTGTTGGGTTATAATGAACTCAAACAAGGGGGAAAGTGGATTAGTATTCCTGGATAGTATTCCTAGTGCTAAAGTGTCACTTGTTATACATGTTTTATACAGTGGAAAAAGTAATAATGAGACTGTTTCTTTTACAGGCATCGCAGGCTAATGGCACCTCGAGACCTGGTCAGCCTGCTTATCTCGCGTGAGTCACAAATTAAAACATGAACGCCATAATCTGCCTCCCTCTCACTCAGACATGCACTCATCACTCATCTCATGCTGCGTTTCCACAGGGGAGGGAACCCATTCGCCACAGTCCGGCTACGTCCAACCGTCACCAACGACCGCTCCGCGCCGTCCATCTGACCGGGCCTCATTTCCACTCACCCTCCATCCTCACAACATCCTGTCCAACTTCCTGTGTCCTCCACCCAGTCCATACAGTTCCGCCCTGCCTCCACTGTCCAGAGGCTTCTCCTCAGTCTGAACTGAGACAGAACTTGGCCAGCACTGAGAAAAAAAAAGAAAATGCCATTTGAATCTGTGATCCCCTCACTGCTGCAAAACTCTCACATGGAAGAATTTTGGGACTGTTTTAATTCAACAGAACGAATGCTCATATATTTAAGATATATATTTTCTATGTCTATTTTTGTCCCTCTGTTTGTGGTGGTGATGTTTAAAAGACCACATTCTTACCTGCACTTGAGAAATGGATGAATACAAATGCTCAAAGAAAATACTGCAATGTATTTATGCTGTTGATGTGGCTTTTTCATCGTCAAAATGACTGTTAGAAAAATATTTTCTGTTGCCATAGGACAGTAGAAGAATGTACTGTAGGACCTCTGCATTTCACCGTCAGGTCCTCATGGAAATGTTGCATCCTAGAAGAGAACTTTTTAAAGAGATGCATCAAAAAAAAGGCACACTAGTAGTCTTTGTATATACATTTGTTGTTAACAGATGCTATAAATGTTGTCCTTTGCCATCTAACTTAACTTTTTTTGTGGAGCTAGAAAATGTGGAGACAGGACTTTTGCCTTAATGACACAAACATAACTACTGTAAAAATATAATTGACCTGTTGTAATCCTAACATTGTGGACAATCACTTCTTCTTTACATTGACAGTGCAGGCATTCCTGCTTTCATCATTACACACATCATTTAAAGAACAGTGTGTACACTTGTTTGGCCCACACTACAACCTTAATAGAATTTGCTGTATGAAAAATAAAGATGTATTTCTTCAACTTGCTGTTAAGTGTGTTATCATGACCAAGGTGTATAATTGTTATTGTTCATCTCTTGTTTATATGAAAGGTAAAAGCATATTTGACTGTCTGTCAAAGGGGCCATATTGTGCTAATTTTCAGCTTCATATTTATATTTTTTGTCTCCATGCTTTAATGTTCAAAAAGCTCTTTATTTTTTCCATATTGCCTGTGCTGCAGCACCTCTTTTCACCCTCTGTCTGAAACCAGAGCCAGGTGCTGATTGTTTAGCTGGCTGGCTCTGTTTATGTGTCAACCGCTTACAGATGTCCCGCCCCTTAGCCAATCGTGTACAATGTGTTGGAGCGATAGCCAATAGAAGCGTGAGTTTTGCAGGATGTCACTATGTTACGGAAGTAAACAAAGGTATAATTGAGGTTTCAGGCAGAAACTCCCTCTAGAAGGAACTTTGGGATTTTACCCTTTGCAGACCATTTACATGCACAAAAAACAATATTCCACACTACAGTAAAGGGAAAACCCAACAAAGCACAATAAGGCCCCTTTTATGTTCATTCAAGGTTAAGAAAGAAAAAATCAAATCAAGCAAGAAGACAAAATGTCGCATTCATTTTTAATTACAGTAACTCAAATATAAAAAGTAAGAACCTCAATCATAAGAGCGTGTGTAGTGTGTATTCTAAAGCAAGAAGATTTTTTAAACCACTCCCACCACCTAGTTCCATCTCTTCTTCTACTGCCATGGACAGCTATATAACATCTCGCTGTGATGGAAGACAGACACGGATACACTTCAGATACAGGGACGAAGACATTCTCCATAGATTGTCTGGTTAGGAGGGGGGGGGCGCAGGGTGACTTGTCACAGAGTACTAAAATCGAAATCCAGAGATTATACACATTATTGAGAGATGTCTTGAGCTTTTCTCCCAGCATGCATCCTTGAAGTGAACCTCTGGATATTAAAGGAGAAGTCTGCGCTTTGACAAAAGAGTCTTCTTAAAGTAGGCAGAAGTCCGAAGTCAAACAGTGATTGAGGTTGTAAAGTCGAGGGCGTTTCAGATTGTATGTACCTGAGGTCTGCATTGGCCCTGGAAAAGCAAAACCCAGCAGAATAATCATCAAACAAACCTTCCGTGCAAATATGGCCCCAAGAAATGACATCAACAAAAAGAGACAAAATGTCTGAGACAAGTCCATTGTTTCAGCCGGGACAGTTCACGTTCCAAGGATCTTTACACATATGCTTTTTTTCTCAAAAACCCATGTTATTCCCCTAAGCCAAAAACAAACATCTCAAAAAAAGGTTTACATTTCTGGAAAAAGATGATACATCGGTGATCTACATGGATGCTTTGTTGAGTACAATGTAACTAAGCACACAAATATGTGTGCAGTGTGCCAGCGAATACAAAAGGAAAAATAAAACTCATGTTTCTCAGTTAATTCTGGCTTGAAAAACATTAAGGAATCTGCTCAGGTCCTTGGACAACTGAGCCAAATCTACAGGAGAAATCACGACTGATGGAATCTCTGATGATCACTCGGCATGTAGTGAAGGCACTGACAACAGCTGGACACTAACATCTGCTAGAACACATCCTCAACTAGATGAACATAGATTTGTACAAGTGCCTGTAATAAAACATCATGGTAATATCATCTTGATCATTTCATTGTACATAACATAATGGCAACAGCAAATGTGCAATATTAAGAAAGAGAAAGTAAAGACACGGAAATGCTGGATTGTGTGTGTGTGCGTGTGTGTGCGTGTGTGTGTGTGAGAGCAGGGGCAGGTGCAAGGGCCGTGGTTTGGTTCCTCTAACCAAAGGTGGCGCCACAGTTGGGACACCTTCTCTGGCGCAGTGCAAAGCAGAAGAGGAGACCCAGGGGGAAGAAGAAGATGGCACACAGGATCCCCAGGCAGGTGAAGTCATCCTCTAGGACCCCCACTCTGCAACGCAAACACACAGGAGGTGTTGGTAAGGAGCGAAGGTCAAAAAGAAGCACAGATGCAGGATTTAAAATGAGAAATAAATATTCTTGGGTTTGATAACGGAGAAGCTGAAGGCACCTGGATCTCAATTTCTATATGAAGTGACCGGTAAAGTATCTCAATAGAAAGCCAGAAAATAAATTACAAATAGAAACAAACGCAAATACACAGAAACAACCGAAACTATATAAAAAAACATCCACGAAGAGATATAAAACAACCAAAAAAGAAACAAACAAAAAGTAGAAAAGGACAGTAAAGGAAAAAAACAACAAAAAAAACACAGAGAATACAACAACCATTAAAGAGACATAAAACCACAAAATGAAACACAATATATACCATTTTTTTTTATCTAACAACCAAATAAAAAAAGAAATTAAAAAAAGCTTTAGACTTGTTGTTTTTTGTCATTTTGTGTCTCTCTTAGTCTAGGGCCGTTTCTCAATCTCGAGGAAACTGGCTTCCAAGCCAATATTTCAAGGATACTACGTCATCGAGTGCCGCCGAAGGACTGTTTGAATCTCAAGCATACTTGGAATTCCACCGAGGCCGCGTCCTTGGTTTTGGGGGTAATTTCGAGGCTGCACATGGGTAGACTTCGCGTCCTTCAAATCCCACAATGCTTTGCGCACGGACCAATTTCCCCCAA